AAAGAGTGATTATTCAGGAGATGGCACAACTTTCTATTTATATAAAGGCGCACAATTTGTTTGTCACACTTTTCATAAAAAATACTTTTCCCATCGGGGTAGGCAGAGACAACAGTCTTCCACTTGCTACGATCCTGACACACATCTTTCGCCTCATCAACACGCATCAGTGCTTTCATACACGCTCGGCGGTTTAGGGTACTCTTGATCTGGCCCTTCTTTTGGATGGCCTCAATTTGATCATGGTAAATTCGCCTTGGTCAACCCTCTCTTCTTTCATTCATTCTCTCTAACAGCTTTTAGGTTTATTTATTAAGATTTTTTTTGTGAAATACCTCCAGTTTTTTTATGATTATGAATGCAAAAATTGAACCCACGTCCATGCTGCACCGTAGTTTTGCTCTAACCATCTGATACACGGGTCCAGTTACCGAGTCGTCGAAATTCTCGTATGTATTTTTTGTTATAGTCAATCTTTGTATTAATAATTATAACAAACTAGTGGAGTAATTTCACAAAAAATAATTGAATATCAATTCAATAAAAATTTAATTAAGAAATGTTAATTTACATGAAAAGACTAAGGGAATAGTGACACTGAATAAATTTTTCAAAAAATACTTTTATTTTGTTTGTGGTAGGTGAAAATTTGTATAACACTTCTAAAAACTACGTAAGTTCCCTTTTGTTTAGCTGAAAATCGCATGCAGTTATCACAATTTTCAGGTCTTTAAAATTGCTCATTACTCAAAAGCGAATATTTTGCATTGTGTCACTTATCAATCTCAGTGTGCGATATGTACGGCGATAAAGTGATTCACAGGCTAACCTTAAAGTATCTCTGTTCCTGCGCGTCAAGTTGCGCTGGCGACATCGCGTAGTCCCACGGTGGGCGTTGAGGGAACGATATGTCAGCGGGAAAATATTCCAACGGGTTCACTTCCATTGCTTTCTCGGGAACTGGGTTTAGTGATTTACTGAAACAAGCACGCATTCAACTTAAAAGTCTAGATTTCGTAAACGCGAATGTCGCAGTCGGACGCCTGGTGCTAAGAGACACGCCTATCCATGACAGTCGCAGTGCCACTTCTTTTTTCTTGAGTTCTTAGGTTTTCGCGATTGTTACACATAGGAAATGAAACTATTTTTCAGGATTTAAATCGCGTATATTTGTTTTTTCACTAAATTTGAAAAAATAGGGTAGTTTGCATCAATATTAGACATAACTGGTTGAAGACTGTACCACCTTAGTCAACCGTGATCATGGGACCTGTAAAGGCCCGAAACGTCGGTTTGTTTGAAAAAACAAATATACGCGATTTAAATCCGGAAAAGTAGTTTCATTTCCTACGTGAGACATAAGTTGACAAGTCCCATGTGCGTGTAATATCATCACCAGCACTCTTACCTTTCCTAACCGGAACGCAATTATGTTCACATTAATACTTTTACTTTTAATTTTTTACTGTTTATTATTGTGGTGTGGTGTTTTGTAATAAATGTATTCTATTCTATTCTAATGTTTGGCGGCAGAAACAGGTAAGGTGGCAGTACTTCCCTGGACTAACTCTTTCCCAAGAAATTCTACCACTACTCAAATGCAGCCTCTTCTCAGAGAACGATCGTTAGGGTCGTATTCTAGAACTCTACTCAATGCTCAAGTCAGGATTTGAGTATGGTTTAAAGCACTCGAAATCATACTCAAGCCCCTGCCATTAGGGTCGTATTTCCAGTGCTTGTGTTTCCAGTGCAATCCTGACTTGAGCATTGAGTAGAGTTCTAGAATACGACCCTTAAAAATGTTGCCGTGAGAAATAAAATATAAAGTCTAAATTACAATTTATTTAAAATTTTGTAGAGTAACTAGCCGGTGCCAGCAACTTTGTCTGCATGGAGTACTTCAGGTAGCCTACTGTACTACACAATTTTTAATAATTTTATTGCTTATTATATATAGTTTTATATATTAATAGATATGGGACTAAAAATGTTGATTGAAAATTTATTAACATGGGGGGCATACACCTTGGGGCTTACCAAACCGATGGCATAATGAACGGACCCGTTAGTTTTAATTGATCTTAGTAGCGACCAAGAGACAAAATAAACACTCACAGCGCTTCTTCTTTCTTCATCTTGAGCTCCGCTTCAGTCTCCCTATAAAACTTGAGCGCGTATCGATTACTCTCCCCGCGCCCCCCGCGGCTCTTGCCCGGCTGATAATTTACCGCTATCATGTCGTAGGTTGCTGAACTAGCTGCATCTGAGAAAAACAAAAATCACATTTGGGATTTTATTTTTTTTATGACACCAAGTCAAGGAAGGAACAAGTTGTTCGCCTGGAGGTGAAGCTATTAACAGATTGACTGCATGTTTACAGTATTAACTAAAACGAGTGTGGAGTCATAACATAAGAGACCTCGACTGCATGAAGTTATTATCGGGTGCGTTAACTTAATTCACTTAGGTGCATTAAGTACACTTTTAGTAAACTGAGGGTCGTATTCCAGAACTCTACTCAAGTCAGGACTTGAGTATTGCAGTGAGCACTGAAAATCATACTCAAGTCCTTGCCATTAGGGTCGTATTTTCAGTGCTTGAAATCATACTCAAGTCTGCTCAAATCCTGGCTTGAGCATTGAGTTCTGGAATACGACCCTTAAATCACCTGGGTGCATTAGATAAACACAAAAGTAAACTGCATTCACTCCTTTATTTAAATATGGAACCTTTTTTTCAGTGGGACTCTGGCTTTACTCATTTGCTCGGACCACTTGAGACGCTTTCAATTGTTTTTGAATAGATACCGTTGAGAAAACTATATTCTATTTTTGACAACTATCTCCACCAATGAGCACCATTTTAACTGCATGCAGTCGATCTCGGCTGCATGAAGTCGGTTTTATTTTGTTTCTTTTCCTTTCCATAAAGTTATTTTTGTTTTTTTTTTTACAATATTCGGGGAAAATAATATTAGTAAATAAATGTGGTTGTTTACAAAAATAACAGAAAGTTATCAAACACTAAACTTAACTAAAGCTTTCATTCGAGGTATCGCTTTGTTGTATTTTACAGAAATTGCTGCAATCAATACTCATACAATCAATTGGCAGTTTCCTTCTATAACACACTCGACTGTTCTACACGGATACATCATCATTGTAACTATATTATGTCTACTTTGTTTGTGATTTTTAATTCCTAAATCGTTACTAAAATTTTTATGGATTTTCATAATGTTTGACTATCATGATATTTAATAACTTTTTTAATTAATTTTTTTTTTGAAATTACTCCACAATTTTGTTATAATTATTAATACTAAGATCGAACTCTTAGAAAAATTCCTTTGATCTGGCCAGATTCGAACCAATATCTTCTAGCAAACTGTGCCAGACACTATGCCAGCTAAACCACAAACTGAACAAGCAAACCTCACAAATTATTCTATGTGCTTGTTGTCGGATCTTTGTATTTGGTTTTCAACTACTTTTTAGCCATAGCGCCATCTATGACAAACCTATGAAAGTATTTCATCACCCAGTTAGGTACCTTTACAGCTACCAGCCCTGGTTAGACATGTCAGCACTCAATCAATACTTACTAGACATCAGCATTGTCTTGTTCTGTTTCTTGGCCTGCAGCTGCTGCTTCTTCGCTTTCCCACTGAAGGGTGTCTTGCGCCGAGCTTGTGGCATCTTGGATTACTCTGGAAAGAATTAGTTGGATTGTGAGCGTGATACTTCAGTAGTGGGAGAGTTCCTTGTGAAAGAGTTTGTCCAGGACAGTGCTGCCACCTTATGGTGTCACTTCACATGGCTACTTGTATTGGCGGAAATTGACAATCGCTCCCCTCTTGGAGGAAAGGGATAGGATGGAGTTACATCAAAAACATTTATTGCTGAATTAAATATCGAAAACTATATATAACCCACATCTTCTATAGTCGATAGTTACAAGAATCGGAGAAGGTGTGGGTTATATCTTTCCATATCTAACAGTGGAGCGTGCTGGTGTGGACACACAATAAGATCAGCAAAAGAAAAGTGGTCAAAGGATGTGACACACTGGTATCCAAGAGATGGAAAGAGGCATAGAGGAAGGTCAACAAGAAGATGGGAAGACGATCTGCCCGAGAATGGCGCCGGTCCGCACAAGACCGTTTCTTATGGAGAAATATGGACGAGGCCTATGTCAGAGGACAACCTGATTAGAGCCCGAACCGATGCTGATGTTAGAATTAAGAATTAATACTGTTAGAAGTAAGCGTTAGTTAAGACTTAGAATTAATTTAGATTTAGAAGTAATGAGTAAATAAAGGCTATTTTTATTTTATTTATCATATTACATTTTGTGCTAAATTTTAAATGTAGAATAACTTAACCAGTTAAATGAAGTATACTAGTACCTTGTGTGCTAATAAATTGTGTTAAGTGTCACCAAGGCGCCACTTCTTCTTGAGTTTTTTTTGTGTTGCTCCAGCTATACCAATGCTTCACCACTGGTATCTAATGGAGTATGCATAGACGGTCATATTATATGTGACAACCTACACAAATAGGCAAAAAAGGCCTTTCTTTATGATAGGTCCAAGTGAGGAGACGAACAAGTCGTGTGTCTGATGGTAAACAAGACGCGTGTCCATGACAGTTGCAGTGCCACTCAGAGCTTTAAATCGCAAAGATCTGAGGGGCCACTGCACCCGTCACCCATATGTTGACAATTTCCACGTGCCTGTAATTTCACCCCTTTAAAAACCGGAACCCAATAATGCTGACATTACAGCTTCACAGCAGAAACAGGTAAGGTGGCAGTACCTCTCTGACTGGACATTTTCACAAGGAGCTCTGAAAAGAACCTAATCGAATTTGTGAAACTACATTGAATTTGACTAGACTACAGTAGAAGTAGCCAAGAATCAACTTACAGTAACTAATATAGGACTCTCACACATGTTAATAAAGATAATTTCACTCTTAACTTTCACGCAAAAATTGTGAAAACTTTTACATGCAAATGTACACGACTCCGTTTGTAAACAAAACAAATGGTGTAGACCTTGAAAACCGAAGGTCAATGCAGTCTAGAACCAGAATATACCTAGGTATGGCTAGACCGGCTTGGAAAAAAAAAAGATTTAGCTCGAAACATACGACCCGAAAATTTTCTGAAAATATCAAAACTTAATTGATTTCTGTTTTGTAAACTTGTTCAATTACCTGTTAGAAGCAAGCAGGATCGATAGGAAACAATTTTTAGATATTTTTAGTGAATTCAGGAGATCTTTTCGAGAAATTTCACGAAGTAACGGCGTTATAAGGAACAAGACGCATTTCGTTTCGTAGTCATCGCAGATGCGATATCTTGTTTCTGAAACCACGATGTTCGCCCGTGAAACGACATTTTTGACATTGACAGTGGCAAGTAAAATAGCCGATAGCCTCGCTAAGTGCTCGCTAAAATGTTCTAGGTCGGCCAGATACAGACGGAATCCGTTTCAAATACAGCAAAACCATACAAATCACGGACTTAGCACACATATATAACTGTACTACACTATATATATTCCGTTCGAATTTTTTTCCGATTCGTAATTCCATATGGTGGCTTGTGCATTTGGAATTCCGCATGGAAAAAGTCGTTCCGAATTAATGTCTTCCATGGATAGTGTACGGCCGCAACACAGTCGTAAATTCCGTACGTATTTTCGCTGCGAGAACATCGGACTCACTCAATGCCTCGCGTCTCTCGGCTGAGTCCAAATTCTGAAGGGAAATACGTATGTGTGTGATGTATTACTGCCTCCGTGGCCGAACGGTTACCATGCCGGACTGTCACACAGAGGTCCCAGGTTCAATTCCCGGGCCGGGAGAAATATTTGTATGGTTTACATTTATTTCTCTCGTAATTTATTTCACCCGCGACACAGGGTTTCCCTAGTGCAGGGCTATGTTGACTGTGTTTGTTATTATTATTATTTTCGTATTTATTTTAAACTTATTATTATTATTATTATGTCTAAACGGAATCTCGAATCGATATTTCGGACACAATGTGGCCGGCCTAACGAAAATAGATTAATCAGTTTAAGTACATTATTAACTAACCTTTCACAAAAATATATTACAGATGGTACGATTGACTTACAAATAAATGGACGACGGGTCTAATACAAAAACCACGAAAAAAATGTCCCAAGTCAACCTATACGAAATTTAGGGTCGTATTCTAGAACTCTACTCAATGCTCAAGTCAGGATTGCAATGGAAACACAAGCACTGGAAATACGACCCTAATGGCAAGGACTTGAGTATGATTTTCAGTGCTCACTGCAATACTCAAATCCTGACTTGAGTATTGAGTAGAGTTCTGGAATACGACCCTTAAATTGTTATGTCATCGCAGTATCGCGCTGTCCGTAGAACAAATGAAGACTAAAGCGGAGTGTCGCGCTCTGTATACGATTTTAGCGCCTTACAAGTGCGGACACTTTTTAGCGCGGACCCGACGTCCACATAATTGTAAGTCAATGGATGGTACGCATAACTACATTCACATACTATCTTAAAAATATGTTTTTTTTAAATAGGAAGAAAATAATAATCTACTCAAAATAAGTAAAACAAATTTTTGCAATTTACAAACAATCATAATTCATGTAACGATCGTACCGGAAAAGGTGTTTTATAGTGAAACCTTAGTACTTTTATCTAAAATTATTCATTTGCCGAATTATGGGACTTGAATTATTGTTCTTGTTGTTTTGGGAATGAACGTGTTTATAATACGAAATCCAGGAATACTAATTATATAACTACAATATAACCTAATAATACGTAATGTTCCAAACTCTGTCGGTTACTAAGCAGTCTTACAAACCATTCATTAAGAAGAAAAAAGATTAATATTCCTAATAAATTTCAATTTCGTATTTTATTGCTAAATTCAAGAGCAAACCTTCTAGTTAGATTAAGTTTGGGACAAAAAATAAAATAAAACGAAGTTAGCAACTTAAAACAAACTTTTTATAATATAGATCGAGTTAAAAATAACAATGTGAACTATGAACATGTTAGCTAGTGGTAATTAACAACTTATAAAAATGAAATAATTAAAATGGTTAAATTAAATTAACGATTTGAGAAAACTAAAAATTACAATATTATAATGTAGCTTAAAAATTAATGTTGAATTAGTGCTTATGATAAAACACCCAAAATTCTAACCTTCATTCTGCGAATTCTGAATCTATACAAACAATCAACAGAAAAAGTGTAAATACACCAAAATTAAATTTTCCAACATTTAAAAACAGTATTAACTTCAAAGATGCTGCCATTATCCTTATTACGAACGGCGCAAAACCATCCAATGTTGGTGGAATTGAAAAATGGCGAGACATACAACGGACATTTGGTTTCTTGTGATAATTGGATGAATATAAACCTTCGTGAGGTGATCTGCACGTCAAGAGACGGTGATAAGTTCTGGCGGATGCCGGAATGTTACATTAGAGGCAGTACGATTAAGTATTTGAGGATCCCAGACGAAGTTATTGACATGGTTAAGGAAGAGAGTCAGGTGAAAGCTAGAGGTCGCAGCGAGTTAAATAAAGGTTAGTACACTTCCAATTTCATCTGTATTAAGTACGCCATTGGCGGAGAGAGCTTCAACTGCACTCCCTTAGAATATTAACGCATAGAATGATAGTTTCATATCAAACGAACTGTCACAAGTGAGGCAAAAATCAAATTCATGTAGGCTAGTTTTAGTAGTAGGTTAATTTTCGGTTTTAGTGAATATTTATATAAAAATACAAGTTGAAACGCGTTACTTCCTTGTGGAATGTGATGTTAGTATCTATTTTATGTTTGTCTGACGTATTTTTACACTCATTTACCACATATTTCGTCATTGCTCGTGTAGGCCCTTTGGGAGCGCTTCAATTTGCCTCACTTAGCGTGTGCGGGCTAGGTTTCTATGCGTTATTATCCTAAGTTGCACTCCTATGTCAAACCCTTTTGTCATTACATCAAAGTGTTTCTAATAAAAACGCGTGCGTTCCTAACTTAGCATTGGCGGATTTATCAATGGCCCAGTGTTGTGTTACTCATACACGAGGCAACTCATTTGTACCACTCGCTTGGTTAGTTTGTCACAACACCTCTTCATGTCATAGCCTCATGTTACATCCCCACTCATGTCACACAGCTTCGAATTCACCAAATGCAACAATGATTGGTCCTGCACTGCCCGCTTTTTAGCCGATTTTACATCATATGATCATACTATCATAGTACAAAAAAATTAGCATTTAATGATTATCACTAGTATCAGGTTTCTTACCACAGTACGACTTCTTTTTATTTTCCCGATATTTCGGAACGGTTGCACGCTCCATGGTCACGGGTTGACTGGACGGCGGCAGATGACAGCTTTATGAGCAGACATATCTGTCTACCCTCTTGCGCTGTCGACGACTACCTTCATCGCGATTTGTTGTGGCGTTACCATTGTCACTCACTTTTTTCACACAAACCACACTCACTGTATCCACACGCAAAACTGAACTCGAGGTGTTTTTGTTTTTATTACTGCACGCACTAAGGACTGGATTCCATGCACTACATGATTATCACTAGTATCAGGTAAGAAACCTGATACTAGTGATAATCATATAGTGAATAACCACGAAAGTCTTAAAATCTAAATTAGCATTTATTTATACTACATCATAACACTTAAGTTATCCAATTGATTGATACCATCAAGTTATGAAAATGTGCTTAATATACCCTGTCTGTTAAGTCTTCACTGTAGGTGCAAACATTCTTGTGACGGTGTGACCTCCTTACACCGTCATGTCACCTTTTTGTATCGCCTCTCTCCGCTTGTATCCTATCATTTTTTTATTTTACATGTATTTAAATTTTAAATTTGAATTGTTCCATCTTCCTTCACTTTCTCATTTTGTTTTCGTACCACGATCACTCCCAGCTCGACCGCCACAACAGTTGGAGCTGTTTCAAATTCCATCGCGAATAATCGCTAATTTTGGTTCTTTACTCCGTTTATAATCATTAAATAAGCTAAATCATGTGTAATAATTTATAACAGTCTACAGCCTTCGTATACCTATATCTATAATTCAGTTACTCGGCCCATTTAACCTGGATGTAATGGTGCCGCCATTGAAACCCTAGCTATTACACAAATATAAAGATTTGTAAAGATGCTTTCTGGCGCTTTTCATTCTTACCACTACCTCACCTCAATTGAAGCATGGACATTGTACTGCCTCATTTTTTCAAATGAAATACTCCCTCAAACTTATTTTAATTTCATTTCCTACCCAACACTATGTTGTAACATTATAAAGAAGAAGGAGAAGTCATGTTTTTACAAAACCACCACGAAGAAAAATGAAATTCGGACTTGCTCGAATTTAATTTTCCTTCACTGTTCCTATGTTGGTTCAATTCTTCGTCACTCCCATCAAAATTATGAAAACGAGAGGATGTGTCCATAAATCATCACCTTCATGTATTCCTAAACTTCACATAATTCACTATTGAAATAATATAGATATATTAGAAACTGTCTGTATGTCTGTTGGAGGAGAGACTTCGCCTCCCTACGCCTGTTCTATCGCTTGTACAATGGCCAATGTTCTGAAGAACTGTTTGACATGATGTCAACAGCATCATTTTACCATCGCACCAGCAGGGAGTCTGTCTGTCTGTCTGTCGGAGTTTTATGGTTTAAGACATTTATTTCTCAAAGAACATACATATTCACTTAAGGAGAAATACAAGGTATCATAAAATTTCTACACAGAGTACGTGTTGACTAAATATTTAAAAGAAGGTATACAAATAAAACTTAATGATCTGACTTAGCAAAAAAAATAACAGCAACAAGGCTTTAATCAAGTATCGCATATCAATTGCCATGGTGACAATTTGATAGCAATTACTACTGAAATAAAAGTAAAAACATTAAAATCCTGAGAAATTCCTCATAATGTGAAATTTTAATTTCTTTTTGAATAATTGGAATGACTGTATTTCCTTAATATCTTTTGGTAATTTATTATATATTTGAGCTCCTTCGTACATTATGTTTTTCTTTCCATAATTCGTTCGCGGTATTTGCAAGTAAATATCGTTAGCACGCCTAGTTATACGTTTTTGAATATGTCGTTTTTTAGTGAAATTTATTTTCGAGTGAATATTTTTATTTAGAATCTTCCTAATCAGTATGCAGGTGTTATAATTATACATTTGTGAAACAGTCATTAATTTTGTTTTCTGGTACAGTGTTATAGTTGGGGTTAGATAATGGAAATGAAAAAGTTTTTTTATAATTTTATTTTGTACTGTTTGCAATGTTTTTAAGTGTGTTTTGCAAGCAGAACCCCAAACTTCAATAAGGTAGTCAAGGTGTGTTTTGACCAACGAATTGTATATTATATACCGAACACTTAACGGGAAACATCTTGTTATGCCATGGAGAGAACCCATGAGTAATAGACCCCGTGTTGGTATCAAGTTTTGTAGGAGCACAAGTCGTTTTAACTTTATTAGTTGCTAAGTTATTTATAAGTTTCCACATTTTGAGGGGTTTTTTCTCACAGTCTTTAAATGCCTTATGATAATACTGACACTTAGTCGTTTGAATATTGTCACGGACTTGATTCCTTACGGCGACAAATTGTTTCTTGATACTCTTCTCCTGTGGCGATTTCATGTACATATACCACAACTGATTTCTTTTATTTATAGCTTCAATTATATCTCTTTTTATCCAATCTGCTCTTGGAGGGTTTTGTATTTTACTTTTTGTAATCTTTGCTGTATTCACTGCATCCATTAAGATAATTTCTAATTTCTCATATTTGGTTTCAAAATATTGTAATTGGTACTGTTCTACTGTTTTATATAGTTTGTTATAGTCTATTGCTTGGTACTCAATTTTTTTCTTTGTTTCAGGTTCATATTTGTGTAATTCTATATAGATCTGCTTATGATCTGACATTGATGATTCTACAGTAGCGAAATGAAACCTATTATTCCTTAGATTGGTGGAGACGTGATCCAAAATAGTTTTTGTGCTAGAAGTCTCTCGTGTACAGTATTTAGGGTCAATATTGTTTAGTATTGTAAGTCCACTTTCAAGTAACATAGTTTTGTAATTGGTGATTGATTGATTATCCTCTAGCAAATTATAATTGAAATCGCCGAACACTATTACACGTTGACGTTTGAGAAATTGTTGTGAGAAGGTTTCGAGAAAACTGTCATTGTTTGTCCTTTCTGGTTTGTAAATAGCACCAATGTTTAAGTTGAACTTGTCGATGTGTATCCATAGGTAATGATTGTCATTTTCATACAGTTCTTCGCTAGCTTCGTGTTTTAGGTTGTTATGAACATATATGGAAACACCTCCACCCCTTTTGTTGCTTCTATAATTAAAATAATGCGTATAATTAGGTAGCGTTAATTTTTGAGCTTCACTCTCAGACTTGATCCAAGTTTCCGTTAAAATTATAACATGTACAATGCTAGAGATTGCTTGAATACTGCATCTCAATTCGTCTAGTTTGCCAGGTTTAACGATGCTGCGCGTATTCGCATACAGGAACTTTAATGATTTCGGATTGTTAACTAGGTTACTGTAGGTACTAGCTGTGAAATATGTTACGTTGTTTACGGTAAAGTTTTCGACAGTATGTTCTATACGAGGTTTTTTGTACTGAGTTCGGTAATCTTGGGGATACCTTTGACGTACTTAATTGTGAGGTTTTTTTCACCCTCAGCAATTCTGCGTTTTAGTTGTTCTCGCAAATTTTGCAGTAAGGTCTTCTGATTAGGTGTTGTATCTGAAAATATTTTGATTCCATCAGCTTTTAAATTCGCTTTATTCCGCAGAATCGATTTAGCTATATCCGACGTTGAAAAACAAACTTTTAGTGGTCTGGATTTATTGCTGCTGTACTTTCCCAACCGAATAATTTTAATAGGCTCAGCGCAGTTAGAGACAACTTGATTAATAATTTTACTTACTTCTATTTTATCATGAGTGCGCCTCTGTTCAGATACATGGGAATTAATTTCGTTTACACCGCTAATGACTATATTTTTCTCCCTCTGAATTCTGTCATAGATTTCAGCCATAAAGTCTTCACACGCAGGCGCAGGCGTCGAAGTAGTGGCTGCAGTGGTCTTAAGCGTATCAACATCAGCCGACAGAGACTCAAGTTTTTGTTGTGTATCATTTTTGAAGGTGGATATATTTTTCAGCTCTTGTTTAAATTTCTGTTGTTCAGCTACAAGTTGATCTGTTGTAGTTTTAATTTGAGTAATCTGATCTCTGATAAGTGATACATCTTCAGATATTTTGTTCAGATTGTTTGTTTGAGTCTGAGCCATAGTTGATAAAATTGACATAATTTCGGTTTGAAATCTATCGAATTTCGAAGAAAAATCGTCATCTGGTTGTTTTCTTTTGTTACGAATAGTGATTTGTTGCATTTCCAGCTTAGACAGTTCCCTCAAGTCCGTTAAGGATCCTCCACTACTTGAAGTTCGAGGTGTTATCATTCTGCTATGAGTTGCTATCGTCTCATCGCTATCGTGACATGTTTTCGATCCATGCGGTGGTGAATGTTGGACATTCATTCTTGCCTACTGTTGTCTAATGTAGTATGAGTACGATGAATTATCAGAGTCCGTCCCTTTCACACGAGAGAAGGACAGGTAGTTTGCACCAGATTTGCACTGGTCCAAGTTGCAACTTAGAACTATAACGACCCGTATGACACTTTTGCGGCACTTAAAACTGATACTAAAGTAAAGGACTTTGAGTTTAAATTACTTCAAATGCACAATTTAAAATTTCAATTAAAACGAGTCAACACGTCCACTCTGCGCGAACTGCGAGCTCTCTCCCTTTTTTTTCTCTCCCTTCGTTTTCCCGCAGAAAGACAGCATGGAGTCCTTCTAAAGGGGTTTGAGAATGGGCCTAAGGGGTTGGCAACACGCTCGTGACACCACTGGTGTTGCAGGCGTTCATAGGTGATGGTGACCGCTTTCCATCAGGCGGGCCGTATGCTTGTTTGCTGCCTACGTAATTAAAAAAAAGACATATAGGCCAATTTGGTCCTCATCTTTTCTTCTTTTACAATTATATAAACCGAACCTTCTTAATTCTCATTTAAATAAATAAATAAATAACGCACACACTCAACATAGCCCCGCACTAGGGAAACCCTGTGTCGCGGGTGTCATGGACACACACATAGACAACCACAAATTACACCCAAACTCACGAGAGAAATAATTGTAGGCCGTACAAATATTTCTCCCGGCCCGGGAATCGAACCTGGGACCTCCGCGTGGCAGTCCGGCATGGTAACCGTTCGGCCACGGAGGCAGTTTCCTTGAAGCTATAAAGTGTATATATTACCACTGTGATGGTGTCCACAGATGTCAGACTTTTATTACGATTAATATCAGACACAATTATGACAATTACTGATCTACATTCACACAGATATCTTAACTGAGTCAATGCACACTATCAGCTGTTTGTTTATATTCCTCTCCATTGTATCAACTTCCACCAACAGCTTAAAAAATTAAGTTGTTCCTTTTGCAGGTCGTGGTGGCCAGAATATGCGTTCCAGCCGTGGTGGCAGCAGAGGCGCATTCGGCAACCGCGGCCGTCCCGCCCCCCTCGCGAGGGGCGGAGGTAACCAAGGAAGACCACAAAATAAAAACAAAAAGTAGATAATTCCTAGGCAACTGTGATTTGGTTCTCTTTTTTTTAAATAAAGTAAGATATTTTGTTTGTAAGGATTTTTATTGTTTCATTTTTGGTGAAGGCAGTCCTATATGTCCTATAATGTGCTGGGAACGCATTGCGGCTTTACCTGTGGCACGGTTCTAAGGTATGGTTCCGTCACTCGCTCGAGGTTACGCGATAAGTGCCTACCGCTGAGTGTATCGCCGGCGGTGCAAACGCACAATCTTTCATTTACATTACAATCCTTGTACAACCGCAGCATTGGGTTCCGCATGACTGCACACGGCGGGCAACGTTAGTTTGTCCTCTCTGAGCACGCGCTTACGTTCCTTTTTCCTCGTAGTGAGTGCCTGTCTGCCTGTCATTAGTCAGATTTAGTAGGCGTCGGTATTTCGATTTTGTATGAAATAGATGTATCTGTTACAAAGTTGCTAATAAGGAATCTTGGCTTAGTGAACTGAGGAAAATATAACTGTAGGTAAAACCACAAATTCACAACGTGACAAGTGATGGGACGAACAAGTCGTGCGCCTGATGGTAAGCGACACGCCTGTCCATAACAGTTGTAGTGCCGGTCAGAGCTTTAAATAGCACGGATCTGAGGGGTGTCCTGTGGAAATCAGTGCCTTGCTGTTGAGCAAATTTTACACTAAGGCACGATAATTAGGTTAGTATTATGTTCTTATGCTTTTTTTTCTTTTTAATTTCGATTTATGTGTGTCTCTTTTAATTAATTTACCCTATTATATTGTTGTGTGTGTGATGCAAGACAATAACCGTTTTATCATTTATCTATCTATCTCTAACAATGGGAGCTGTTCCATTCGGTGGTGTGGGGAAAAACAGCATAACATCTAGTTACAAAACAAACGGAATCAAATTACGTCGGTAATTAAATATGTATGTCAATTGAAAAGAGCAATCCCTAGAGTTTCTTGCTCGTTCTTCTCAGGGAGGTCAGCGTAGTGAACGAGCAGTAGCTTAAATGTAGCTTAAATGTGACGTTTTCAAGTGTAAATTTATTTTACCTATGGAATAAATAATCTTTGACTTTGACTTTGACTTTGTAATTTAGTCAATGGTAATTTTGCAATTTTCGTCCGTTAGAGCAAAGCTCAAGTTAACTGGTCGATTTGAAATGAAACAATTGACGACGCCCGTCAATTTTTTCTAATTCTAGCTATCCCCAGGGCGCAGTTGTCACAGCAATGATATGGCAGAATAGTTTTCAAACAAATTAAATGACATTTCGTCTCTATTTCTGGTTATATCTTAGAGGTATCTACGCATCAACTGACACCATGACGAATAACCGTGACGTAATTAACTACGTAGATAACTACGTAGTTAAAGACACATACGTACACGAAGGTAGGTTGTTCATTTAAAGTTTTTAATGGAGAACTCACTGTTGCTAATTAATAAAAACCGATTTATCACAGTTTGCTTGTTAGATTTTGCAATCCACAGGGCTGGCAACTGCTGAATTTCCGTTTCTATTATATATAAAGTTAATTTAACAACAGTTAATTTATATTTTTGCTTTTATTTTGTACATAATTAAATGTTTATCATTAACTGTTATCTAACTGCCTCCGTGCCCGAACCGTTACCATGTCGGACTGCCACGCAGAGGTCCAAAGTTCGATTCCCGGGCCGGGAGAGCTATTTGTATGGCCTACTATTATTTCTCTCGTGAGTGTCTATGTGTGTGTCAATGGCGCCCGCGACACAGGGTTTCCCTAGTGCGGGCCTATGTTGAGTGTGTGCGTTATTAAGAAGCTACACATTGACGTATCGTGTTCTGTTGCACTGGAGGCGATTTTCGAACATAAATGTGAAGTCTAATGTGCTGTTGACTGCACTTAATTGTATAAGTACACGTGACCTATTGTCTTATGCTTATCTTTGTAAGAGTGGTTACACACGGCGACTGCTAAAGCAGCGATGGAAACGAGCGTTCGCGAAATTGCTACACTTGCGACTTATACGCGATTGCATCTATGCAAACGCGCGACTGCATCGACACTAAGGGTCATATTCCAGAACCCTACTCAATGCTCAAGTCAGAACTTGAGCAGACTTGAGTATGATTTTCAGTGCTCACTGCAATATTCAAGTCCTGACTTGAGTATTGAGTAGAGTTCTGGAATACGACCCTGAGAGTGCTCGATATATATATCGATATTTTTTTAATATATCGATATATCGAATCAATCCGATATAATCGTATCATTCGGAATCGATATATTTTATCCGATACATGAAAAATCGTACAAAGTTGAAAGTACACAATTCAAAATTGTACTTGCAGAAACGAAACGCAATTCGAGCGCTGATTCGCTGGTCATGTGTTAGTGTAACGTGTGGACCACTACTAGTGGTTATAGTTTTATTGGCTGGCCGCACACACTAAATAATATAGACAATAATATTGCTTGTGTGCGAGCGATACTGTAAACTACTTACACATTTTTGTTCGAAAATCGCCTCCAGTGCAACGGAATAAGATACGTCAATGTGTAGATTGATGTTTCTGGCGTGTGAACATAAACTTGGGTTGTCAATAATATTATTTGTATGCGGCTAACCAATGAGAATATAAGAATAAGATTTCTTATTTGTTTATTACATTTGATTATTGTGTCAAAACTGGTGGTTTTACTTATTTACACTTAGTAAAATTTCCTTCCTTCTATCTTTTAGAATTATTTACTATATAATCGGTGTTTTGTACCGATATATCTCAAAATATCGATACAACATTTCGATATATCGCATTGAAAAAAATATCGATATTTCTTTGCATGAACACCACTAATCGACACAGTCGCTTATATTGAATAACTAAGCACGAAAATCTGTACATGTTTATGCACAATAATATGTTTTGTTAATTGTAAATTTAAAAGTGAAATTAATAAATACATTAAATAAATAAATTAGTTAATTGATTCAACACCGCTAAAACTCACCGTGTGTACCCGCTCTTAGTGAGACGTATACTTAGACATGGAAGGGTCAGAGCAATATTTATTTATTTATTTATTTTACTTTAATTCTAACGGACACACCAATTACAATAATTAAATATACATTACTAACATAACAACGTAATAAACACAAGATTAAATACCATTCAGGCATCGCTTTCACAACAGCGTAGGCATCTTAACAATAACAGAGACCATCCGTCCGCAAACAAGTCGCATTCTGGGGGTCTACATTCGATCTCCATCCGAAACAATTACTGCCAAATAAGCAATACTTGACCAAATGAAAAGACGCGTGATGCGAATGAAGCTTCATACTGGATACTTGTCTTTTAATTTTGTCGAATATTACTTATTTGACAGTAATTGTGACAGTAATTGACGGAGACCGAGATTAGCCCCCCTGGGTTAATGGCAAGGATAAAGTTGTGTGCGCAAAGGGAGCTCGGTATGGGTGATTTAGCGCGCGCTACGGTTCGGCACCACGGGGTGGCAAGCAACTGGTGTCTTCTAATGCGGTAGTAGTTACGGGGGTAAAGTCAAATAATCATTTCTTCCACAGGTAAAATTTTTACACTTGAAAACGTCATTTTTTTAAGCTACTGCTCGTTCACTACGCTGGCCTCCCTGAGAAGAACGAGCAAGCAATAGGGATTGCTCTTTTCAAGTAAACTTAAATGCTATGGAATACACTTTGAATCATAATTGTGTGGAATCTAGACTATTGTTGTCTTTCCATACTTGTTTATCTAAAACATAATCTTCAATTTTGTAATATGACTTTTCAATTAAAATACTTTTAATGTAAGTTTTAAACTTAGGAAATGGTAAACTTAATATATGCTCCGGAATCTTATTGTAAAAGTGTATACAGTTCCCCATAAAAGAATCGTTTACCTGAGTTAAACGAAATCGTGGTACCATGAGTTTGGACTTAGTTCTAAGGTTAATATTATGAATATCTTCTTTCTTAATGAAATTATGTATATTTTTACGGGCATATAAAATATTTGAGTAAATGTACTGCGATGCCACAGTCATGATACCCGAGAACCTAAACGGTACACAGAACGAATCGCTCGTTTTTGCAACACAAATATGGTTTGCATATCTGCCGCTTTAGCCCACATGAGAATCCCGTAGGACATTATACCATGGAAGTAACTAAAATAAACTAATCTAGCAGTAGCAACATCGGTAAGCTCACGTATTCTACGGACTGCGTATGCAGCAGAGCTTAATATGCTAGCTAAGGAAGGTATATGTGGAAACAATTGAAGCTTACTATCTAAGGTCACTTCCAAAAATACAGCTTTATTAACAAAGTCTAACTTTTCTCCATTTATTTCTATGATTGGACTAGTCGATTTTACATTACGTTATTCAAATTTAACACACTTTGTCTTCTTGGCATTGAGCAATAAATTGTTCACATTAAACCAATAAACTACCTTTTAAAGGGTATGGTTAATATCATAGTTAATGTGATGTCTGTCTGTTTTAAATATCAAGGATGTGTCGTCAGCAAAGAGTCGACACAGCTCATAATGCAAATATGGGGAATCTATATTACTGCGGAGAATTTTCCACATAACCACGAGTTGGTGTTTCATTCCTAACCTCCAGCGATTTCTTTCCGGTTGATATACAAAATTTGCCTTTCACGAGGTTTAAAACTATAGTGAAACAAAAACTTTATACTAAAGCTTATTTATTATACAACTTCTGCGTACTTGGATAACAAAAATCCGTGGTAGTAACCCGTTTAGCTCATGGAGGTAGTCTCGGTCTCTGGTGTTTCAAATAAAAAGAAAAAATATATTGTAAATGTTGAATGTATACAAATGTTATTTACAAAGAGCAACCCCTAGAGTTTCTTGCTCAGGGGAATCTGCCTTACGAATGAGCGGTAGAGTTTAACCATTATAACGATTTTAAGTGTACTAAAGATTATTTTGAATTTGAATTTGCAATTATATTCTAGGTAATATTATTTTTCTTAACGTTGTAATATAATTTTTTAAGCTTTTAATCACTCCTGCAAAGTTGCAGTATTTCTTTTACACGTTTATTCGGTGGTGCCGTTGAATTTTGACCAGCCCTCGTCGTGGATCAATATTCAAGTTTACGGTGTCGGAAAACAGTATAGTGAATGATACGAAATTGAAATTTTGAAACACAGATTTCTTAGCAAACTAAAAAGAACTTTTTAATTGACACGTTCACAATTATGATAATTTTAAAATACCTACTTCTTATTATTGGTGAGTTTAAATTTTATCAACTATAAAAAATATAACCCTTAGTTTGAATAATACTTTTATACAACGCACTGTTAATAAAATAGTGTATTAATTCAAAAAGTGTACTTTCTCAGAATCGATGAAAAACGAAGTACACACTTCCCGCAAAAAAAATATTAAAATTTATGTATATGTTATTCTTTATTATAGACACAAACAATTTCACAAATATATTTAAAAATAAAATGGAAAAAATAATTTCATATTTTTGAATATGGATAATTTTTGCCAGAACTAGCTCACATACAGTGTCTCATTTTGAGTTAAGTAGATATCTCTTGATTGTTTCTTACAATATTCTAATAAATTTCACATATTTTGAGTTACAACACTATTGTACTAACAGTGCGACATGTTACATTTAACATGTACAGTTACTAGGCTTCGACTATTTACAGCCTTTGGAGTCGAAACCCTTGGCCCGTGGGGTCCCAGTGCCCTTCATCTATATAAAATTTTATCCAAAAAATTAATTGACTGTTTACGAAACCCAAGGGCCGGAAGCTACCTTGCCCAACGCATTAGCATAGCAATAGAAAGGAGGAACGCTGTCAGCATCTTGGGCACCGTGTCGCGGGGACCCAATTTTATTCCTATAATTTAAAAATCCTAGTTTTACTTTTTAGTATATAAGTTTTTATTGTCTTTTTTACCGTACCTATATATTATCAAAATAAAAATAGTTACACTACCTTACAGTGTAACATTTAGAAAATAAACAATCTCAGTAGAAAGTACTAAAAAACCGACCTCAAAAGTCATTCATCCCCTAGTTTGCCACCCTTAGAGGTCGAACATTTTCGTGACCACTACCGAGGTACTCTCTTTCCTACAAAAAATAATTATCAAAATCGGTTCACAAACGCCGGAGTTATCACGTACATACAAAAAAAAAACATTAATTCGAATTGAAAACCTTCTCTTTTTGAAGTCCGTTAATAAATATAAGATCAATGTTCATTGAACATTGCAAACATAAACTAAAACTTAAAACACATAATTAATAACTCACCCTTTTTTGGGTACGTATTTAAATGTTGAAGAAATATGAACTAAATTAGCCATTATCAGCATACTCCTCCAAATGTCAATAACGAACACACTGCGTTAAAGCAAGATGCAGGTCAGCCCAGCATTTTCGTACACCTGATGGCAAGCTACACGCCTGTCCATAACAGTTTCAGTGTCACTCAAGAGCTTTAAATTCCCCGTACCTGCTCAGAAGCACGCGTGCTGGCCTTCGTAGTCACCGTTTCACTAGCCGCATTCCATCGCTTACTAAAAGGTTCGGTGGCTCCTCTGCCGCACGGTTGACAAATGGAACTCCCTTCCGGCACATGTCTTCCCTCCCTCTTATGATACGGGGTCCTTCAAACGAGGCGTGAAGAGGCATATTGTAGGCAGGCAGGGTGGAGGTGGCTAGTGCAGTGAGGGTTTCATCGCTGCACTAGGTTCCTTCGCGTTTGGATACCACTTTCCACTTAACATCAGGTGGAGTGGAGATCAGGAGAGATTGCAAAGATCTGAGGGGCACTGCCACTGCGGCCGTCACCCTGAGACATAAGTTGACAAGTCCCATGTGCCTGTAATTTCACCAGCACCCTTACCCTTCAAAACCGGAACTAACATTACTACTTGGCGGTAGACATAGCTAAGGAGCTGTACTACTTGAAACAACATCTGCAGTGAACTAAATGACAGCAGCACACGTACCTCCCGCTTCTATTAAACTTCTATTATTAGTCTAGCAAATGGAAAGCTGAGTCTCTGTTTACCTACATGCTGACCTCCTTCGTCCCTCCTCCTGATCCTCGTCACTGGTTACTTTTAAAATTTTGCTTCATTCTCGAATTCCATTTCCCTTCACTATTCCTACGTTGATTCGATTCGTCGTCACTCCTATCAAAATTGTGAAAACGAGAAAATGTGCCGATAAATTAATTCACTATTTATTTATTTATTAGATGTACAAAACAGTTTACATTCACTCCTTAACCAAAGCTTAAACATTACTACTAGTTCTACTCTTGAATGTAAACCTAAACATGTACATACAGCATGACCAATCATGAGTAAACAATTTTGTTTGAAATATAAATTGTTTGTAAATTAATAAAAAATACTTAGGCACAAATAAAACTGTAACCTTAAATAAAATTGAATTACTATGACTATAACCATGAAAGAGAGAAACCGTGGTGGTTGTGGATTCGATTGCGAAATCTTTTAACATTACCATCAAATATATCCATTCCTAAATCATCGCCATAGTCAGCCATAAGCCACTATTAAAATAATATAGACATAGCTCTCGTCACCCTGAGACAAGGTGACAAGTCCCATGTGCCTGTACTTTCACCAGTATCCTTACTCTTCCAAACCGGAACACAGCTGGCATTGCTGCTTGGTGGCAGAAATAGATAAGATGGCAGTACTTCCCTGGACGAACTCTTTCTTATGGAGCTGTACTGCTATTAAAAACATCATCAAAGCACCCAGGCTATCACTGCGCTTTATTTTCAGCGTACTTGAGTGTAACTCTATCAATCCCCGAGGACAACAGCCGACGAAAATTCACAAATTATGGATACCAAAAACGCAACTCGAAATCTGCTCAGGCTAAGAAAAACGTGGACGTCTGGTTTTTGCAAGTAAATAGAGAGTTTTTTATTATAATCTTGGAAATAAAGTAGGTAGGAACTCCAATGATTTTGCTACGTACTTGACGTATCAACAAAGTTAATTTTGTCTTCATGTATCGCTAGTTAAAAAGTCTTCCCAGCCCCAAAACTGCCATTGGTTGGCAGGAATAAGGCAGCTGGGGGGGCTCACCGTTGCTTGACTTTGTTGGTAGTACCCAGTGTGGCTTCATTAGTCGAAATGTCTCGCTCGATTATTCAATGTCCACAGTACCAACCCTTTTTTGGTACCTGTAGAATGGGCAATTAGAATATCTCAACAATTTAATAAAAAAATATTACATACAGTATTATTACATACTTATACAGTTAACGCGTAAGTCGCGCTGTTGCAGCATTTTAAAGAACATTCGTGTCTAAAATTGATAATACCGAGATCAATTCTGGGTTTAAAATTTGCTTATAATGGTTATTCCCTACTTAACGCTTCAGTGCCATACCAGCATCATCTGTCCTCAAAATAGTGTAAAAACCGACTTCATGTCAAAAAATGTTGTACAGTTTTTACACCGTGTCTGTAGAAGTGTCCACCCGTACCTTGGTAGGTACGGGAGTTGTGTTTTGTGATAAAAATTTTCTGATAGATTAAAAAAAAGATGGCGCGAAAGCCAACCAACCAGACATCGAGCACCTGATCGCTTTAAAAATTTTCGATTAATTAAGCAATTTTAGATCCTTTTTTTTATCATCAAACATTTCGTAACTATCTTATACAATAAATTTACAGACTGGTCACGTTATACATAACCGACATTATGTCACACAACTTTGAGGCTGTTTTAATTTTAGTTTCACCTCACTAGCTCGGAACGGCTTTCTTTCTCATTAGAAATCTGCGCGCTAAAGCATTTTTTCCACGCTAGCGTGGAAAAGCTTTTTGAAATTCGAACTTGACGTTGTACTGTGATGTGCCTAAGTTTTTTTTTCGATGAAAAAAAGGACACGTTCAACTACGCGATTTGTCGTACATTTATCCTTATTATTGAAAATGAATGAAAAAATGAAAAACTAGCTACAGTGAGGTGAAAAGTTGTGTGTTTCGCTCGGTAGCAAAGTTGTTTTGTGTCTCGTGGCTTGAAACCCTCGCTACGCTCAGGATTCATGGGGTCGTATTCTAGAACTCTATTCAATGCTCAAGTCAGGATTACACTGGCAACACAAGCACTGGAAATACGACCCTAATGGCAGGGACTTGAGTATGATTTCGAGTGCTTTAAACCATACTCAAATCCTGACTTGAGCATTGAGTAGAGTTCTAGAATACGACCCTTAGATTCCTTCGCTTGCTCACGCTTCAATACAAGCACCCTCGTCAAACAACTTTGTAGCCTTGCATGAAAAATGACTATTGAGGCCTGGTGTACTGGTCTGAAGATGAGGCGTTAAATGGATGACAACCTTCAAACCGTATTTCGATGGGTCCGACGCTAAACCCAATAAGTGTGTGAATTTTTATGATAGGCTCAACTTACAATGGCGCAGAGTCGAAGCGTCGCGACGCGTCATGTTTTTTGCCTATAGATATTCGTCTCTATTTTCCCATCATTAAGGTACAAATTTGTGTTATGCAAATATGGAAACGGGCGACGACGCGCGTCGTCAAGCGTTGTAGTTAAAAAACGGGACAGTGTGAGTTGAGACTAATTTGAAGAAACATTTGAGAAAAATTTTGGAATGCAATAAACAGATATAGGAGTGTACAAATTCAAACAAGCGCCATTCGGTCAACCGCATACAGCAACATAGAGGCGAACCAAAAACAATATAATTTATCTTTTTTATTTTTAAAGTTTTAATTACTAAACCATATCTTTGAAAAGTACGCTATAATGTGTTAGATAAGAACACTTTTCATGAAAATTCACTCGCTTATTGGTTTCTGTCTCGGATCCCTCGATTTTGAATATACTTGTGAACGGTAATTTGGAACAAGTCAAAGGTTATTAAAGTTGACGGACTAATGCACATATCATTAAGTTAAAAAAGTGCTTCATTTTTTGATAAAATAATTTATTTTTTGTGTTGTGAAAATGATAAATTTGAAAAATACGCTGCTAGAATTTCAATTACAAATTAATTTAATTTATTGTCGCCCTAAAGGGAAAACCTCGCGTACGCGTTTTCACGTAGTACATTTTTATTGATTTTTGTTGAAGAAAAACTTATGAATTTTTTGCTTTAACATATTCTTAAAGTAATATAGTATCTGAGAAAGGTACAATTTAACTATAAAATGAAAATGCTAACTATAGGATTTTTCTACAAGAACTTTGTTTTGTAAATGAAAATAAAACGATAACTATAGATGACAATGATTAAAATTTTCATTGTATTAAAAAAATTAAGGTATGTCAATTATGAATGAAAAATGATATCTGATAAATGTCCACCAAGACCACAGTTACAAATATTATTGCGTTTGCTACATTTTACACCACATTTTTATCTTCGTCTTGAAAAATTACATAGAAATCACATATACGAGGCATTCACTCTGTGACGACGTTATGTGCTTTAGTCGGTAGATGTATTAATTGAAAAGATTGACGCTGGTTTTTGACTTAGGTATGTGTTTTAATCCGCCGATTCTAGTTGACGAGAAGGACGTCGTCCGTTGTTGAATATTCGCGTGAATACTTGCCCAAGCAGGGGGTCTACTCTCGATTTCCGTCCGAAACAATTACTGCCAAATAAGCAATACTTGACCAAATGAAAAGACGCGTGATGCGAATGAAGCTTCATACTTGAAACTTGTCTTTTAATTTTGTGGAATATTACTTATTTGACAGTAATTGTTTCGGACGGATGTTGGACGTAGATCAAGAATAGACCCCCAGGTACCAAAACACGGTTATTTCATCGAAAGAAGCGAGACGCTAAGGCAGTTTTATTATGAGGATTGTCCACCAAACGCGCACCGTACGGGTGCGTACAGATCTGTCGAATGCGCTGTGCGCTCGCCGCAGGCACGCTGCACCCGTGCATTAATAAGAGTCGACACTTCCTCAGCTCGAAGCCAATTTTTCCAGTACTGAATCGGTTCTATTGCGCGAATAGAGAGAGATATTTTTTTACAAACAAAGTTAAAACCTTTTGAAAAATATATGTCGTATACTATACATACATGTACGTTCTATTTAGTTTTGCTGATATAAAAAGAAAAACATTTTTATATGTAAAGTAATTATGATTTTTGATAACAACATGCTACGGTTACAGCTCTCTAGCGAGTACCCGGCTTAAGTCAGATTTGTACACACCCTAAAAACGATTTTTTTATGACGTCAAGTACAAGTGTTGTCAAGCGGAACGACTGAGTTGTGCGCGTGGTGGTAAGCAACACGCCTATCTAGAACAGTTGTAATGCAGCCATAAACGTAAATCCGAGAGTCACTAGCAATGTGCCCGTCACCCATAAACAGAGGTGACCCGCACCCTTATGCCTGCGTAATCAGCAGCTTCGTTGCCCTCCCTCTTGCCATTACTGTTCTGCCGTGAGCATTAGGCGGCAGAATTTTCCCAAGTGTTTAAAATGACCGTGAATAACTGCTCTTAATTACCTAAACCACTATACTATAGGCGTGTCGCTTACCTATTTTTTCATATCATAAAAAAAATTCAAGGCAATGGGGCATTTTTATAGACTTTAAAACTCTACCACATTATTTTAGCACTTGAGTTATGCTTAATGGTTAGTTAAGACTGCCCTCTTAATTCGGGATCGGAATTTACTTAGGAGTATAGCTTGCAGAGACCGACAATCGATGGGGAAGGAAGTTTTTCGAGCAACCAGGAGGAGGGCGCAGTATACGACAGCGTATTTACCAGATCGAAAACTAGAACTATTTACTTTATAGGTAAAGAGTTTACACTTGAAATCGTCATATTGTCCCTTTCCTCACTAGCTGTCGTATCCGAAATTATTTGTCGTAATTTGGTAAGCTTATGATCATAATGAACTTTCAAAAGTGAAGATTCTTCTTTTTACCGAAGTGCAAACGACGCGAGCGAAACTTTCTGGACATCCACTCAAAATTACTCGGCAGTTCTTCAACCTAAACGCATGAAATTTGAAAAAACACATTGGATATATAACTAGATATAGTAACTATTTTTTCAGATCTCAAAAGAGTATGTTTGTTTTTTTTTCAAACAAGCCAACGTTTACTGGTCCCTTTTGGTCACACCTGTGATGGTAAAGTCTTCAAAAGTACATTACAACATTGAATGTTCTTAGGTAAATTAAAAATAAAATAGCGAAAAGGCATTTTTTAACTTTTTTTACATATCTGGTTGTAAAATCCCAAGTCGTTATCATTTATTTGTTTTGTTTGCTGCAGTAGTTACTATTTGGCATCAAGTAACCAGAAATAGAGACGAAATGTCAGTTAATTTGTTTGAAAACTATTCTGCCAAATCATTACGGTAACTGTGCTTCGATTGGCCAGCCCGAATTCGAAACAATTGACGGGTGTCGTCAATGGTTTCACTTCAAATCGACCAGTTTAACTTTAGCTTTGCTATAATGGACGAAAACAATGCAGAATATTTTTGGAATATAACGGTTTCCCATTTTTGTGTCCCATGAACTCAAGCGTGTCCCGTGAACATTTTCCCGGGATTGTTTTAGTCATATCACTCTCTCAATTCCGATCACTGGTTATAACCATACTATAACAACTTTGACATGACCTACATCTTAATATATAGATAAAGTATGTAAATCATTGACGTAATGTAAACGGACGTAATGTAAAGTCGATAATGCATTAAAAAAATAACAAATGTCATTTGTAACAACTCAGTCAGGAAAGGGATGATATGTTTTTTACATCTATGTAGTGTAGTAAAAAGTTAGACACTCAGTTATAGTTTAAAATGTTACACATTGAAATAGTACTTTTGATTAAATGATATTCATTTATTGTTTTGTGAATTTATTCCACTAATTTGTTACAATTAGAAATAGAAGGATCGAACATAAAGAAAAAAATCCTACGAAATGTCAGGAAAATATGCGAATTTACAACAATTTGGCGGAACAACATTAACATAACAAGTTGGTACACCAATTGAAGTACGTTCGTACGTAAATTAAGTCAACAGTTGGACTAGAGCGACATAAGCGTGTGATCTTGCGAGAATAGCAGTATCTTGCGCTATGTCGCTCTCGCGCAAGTAGCGTCCTGTCGCCCTACAGAGCTCACCAATTTCTTTTGATGAGATCTTTGTTTTTTGGTTTTATCGGTTCTGCCAAACCTGTGAGAAATAGATAGATAGAGAGATAACTAGTTTATTTGCTGAATCACGGTCATCGAGTATATACCCAGACATATTTGTTTAAAAACCATTCCGCCAAATCATTACGTTGACAACTGCACTCTCTTTTTTGACGTGTGTCGTCAATTGACGTGTGTCTTTTAAACCTTTTTTATTTTTTGTTAATCCGGGGGTATCTGCTTACAGAAACCCCGGCCCCGCGGGGCCAGAGCCGGGGTTATGTGGGACTGGACTGAACCCTGAAGGGAACATCCCGACCCGTACTACGGGTTACGGGTACGGGGATACGGGTACGCTATTACACTCGTCCGCGCCCCCACCAGCGGCTGGCCGCGCCCTGCGCAGCCCCTCGCCGAGAAGGGAGACACATCGGTCCCCCGACTCCGAATGTGAGACTCGCCGAACACCAGACGAGCCTTCCATCCTGGACCCCTATATGCTGGCCAATGAACTCCCCCGAGTCCGCTGCCCCTGGGCAACGAACTCCCCCGAGTCCGCTGCCCCTGGGCAACGAACTCCCCCGTGTCCGCTACCCAGGGGCCATGGGGGGCCAGGACAGTGAAGTTCAGTGGCTGCTCCCCCAGCCCCCGCGACGAATCCGCGCATCCGCGCGGACTCTCCGAGGAGAGTCCCTTGGAGCGCCCATCATGGGCTTACCGCCCAAGTTCGGCCGCGGAGGATAGGACGAGCGACAACGACACACCGACACGTCTATTTCCCCGCGGCCCCGCCGTCACTACATCATCGTAAACGGCGCGGTCCCGCTGGCCAGACGAGCCCGCGCGGAACGCCCTCCTCCTCGAGCCAGCCTACCACCATCGGCCGGCCCCGTGGGTTTCTCTTAGCTTCACCGTATAATGAAACTTGCAAACCCAACTTAACCTAACCTAACCGAAGAACCTAACCGTGTCTTTGCGATAAACATTCAACATATCCTGAAAGAACAACTGTTTCGTTATAATTCGGTTTTCGGTGTAATGAAAATTCGAACAAACGTCATTTCGAACAAAAAAAATTTCGACTTTGTGATAGGTTACCGTCCCTATCTACTGACCCGAGATATAGGTAGTTCCTGTGCAGGCTTAGATATGAAATTAGGGGCCCTCTTAACTCTGACTACGAGAGGTGCAATAAATAAGAATTAGGGAGTTAGGGTCCCTAATTTGGGTAACTTTTGTATAAGTTTATAAGAGCGGTGACCTAACTTGACATGAAGTTGATACAGGTCCCTTGAAATCCGATAGTGTCCAATACATAGGGCCTTACTATAAGTTATAGTTATACTATTAAGATAGATAGATCCAATACATAGGGCCTTACTATAAGTTTCCGGAACTGGCCACTTACATAAACAATATTTAAAAAGTAATTACAACATTTGAAAATGGAACTCTTTGGCTGTAGAATATAGATTGTTTCATCTGACTGTCACTTGTTTTTACATTGTGGCGTCATTTTAGAAATTGGTTGTCTACATCACCATGGATTTAACTCGTGAAAATTTTCGTAGTATTGGTTTCTATGACTTTAAGTGTAATTTAATAGTTCAGTGGAGCTTCGCTCGGCTTCAAACTGCTTTTGGCGATGAAGCACCATGCAAGACGACTATCTATAGCTGGTTTGCAGAATTCAAACGCGGTCGTGTGAATCTCAGTGTCGAATTTCGTGATGGTCACCTGAAGAGGCTGTCGAAGAGTAGGTATAAAAAACATGTTTGTTTACAAAATTGTTTCATTCGTATGAAACAGTGCATTAACGCTAACGGAGAATATTTTGAGAAACACTAAATACATTTATAGTATTTTTTTCTTATTAATTCCGGAAACTTACAGTGCGCCACACGTACATGTTGTAAACAAGTTTCTTTCCTTACGTGACGGACGAAGGCGCCTGAGTTCTACACACACGCGTCTCAAGCTTGTATTAGTGTATCATAGCGCGGTTGAATGAAGCTTTGGTTCTCTTTGTTTCTTTATTCATAGTATTTGCACCTAACTTCACACGGTTATTCCCACAGACATATATCAAAATAGACTCCGCAAGTGTACGTACTTCGCGTGCTCAAAGCTGTGTAAGCTATAAACGCTTAGGGCTCTTACACGTCGTTGCGCCACGACGCGACGTTGTACCGTGTTTATGTGTAAGAACCCTTAGTAGCCGCTGCTACGTTTTAGAACGCAAAGAAAATGCGAAAAAATGCCTAATTGTGCTTTTAGACAATGCGACAACACCACAGGTGTGAGAAGATAAATAAACAGGGCCGTTTCCTTCCACAGTTGTGTAATTTTGTAATCAAGATATGCATAATTTAATAAAAAATACCAATTATTTTCCTTTTGAATGAATTTCGAGAAAACAAATGCGCAAACTGCAAACGAGTGTATAACGTGTGATTCCTAATACATTGCGGCTTTTACTTGGTGCGGTACACTTGTGTTCCTTTTTTAGTAGGCCATGAATATTGAACGAGCGCTACTTTCGTATAATGCATTCAGTTTTGTGGTAGGTCCGCTTGGTAATGTTTTTGGTCAAATTTTACGATTAGTGATGTTCCCTTGACACAGTTCTCGACTCTGATCGATTTAGGAAACAAAGGGTGATAATTTTTAAGACCTTAGAAAATGTTATATGTTTATTGTTGCAACTTTTTTTTTCCAAAACACCTGTTAATAAAGGACTTAGTTATCTTATTTTGGTACCAAAATATACTATTATTTGTGTATATATTATTATTTTAAATTTTTATATATTAGTATTTTACTGCTTCTTATAATCAATGAATAAGTACTTGAAAAATCATTATTTTAAATACGTGCTGCGTCCGCGACTACGATTTAATGGAGGTTTCCATCACTAAAAGCGCTTGTGACGTCATCGGAGGTACAAAAAATGTGACACGCTTGGTTTTCATACCGATACTTGCGGTGTCTATTTATAATGTCTTTTTTGAAGATGGAGTGAATTGTTATGATGAAGTGATTGCTGAAGAGATAACAATTACTAATTGCGTTATTCCCTTTTTTGATTCTTATTTTGACCGTTGACCTACTCATTTAGAAATTAATTTGTATTCAGACATTTTAATAAAGGACAGGAGAATTTGAGTGTCTATATTGAATAAAAATTAATTTAGTATCCTTCTTGTATTTTTAATAGATTTAATTCTAAATTTAGTAACTTACAAAAATGACAATCCAAATGAACTTGTAATTACATGAATAATGGATCGATGATGATTAAAAAAACACAAGTTTTGCGCTTTTATTGCATAAGCGTGACCAACACTTAGTCGACAGTCGATAGAATTTTTACCGACTGAAATCACTAGTTGCTTGCAAGCGGGTTTTACTTCATTTTGAAAACAGACAATATAGATATATGTATAATGGTTTTTTCACGATAAGCAACTGGTAACGGCGTGGATAGTGAAGTGAAATTGTATTTTATTTATCGTTAACATCTCAGAAATGGGATATCCCATAACAAACCCACAAAGTAAGGTAAAGTGGCTCCTTGTATTCTATTAATTCACTATTTTTTTAGATTTAGCTGTATACTACAAAGTCCTAAATTCTTTAAGTATGTTAAGAGTGCCCGTAGGATTGATAAACTTGACTGCGTAGGTGGCAGATCTGCCCTTATATCCCGGCCCGGGAATAGTACCTGGAACCTCTGCGTGGCAGCCCGGCTTGGTAACCGTTCGGCCACGGAGGCAGTTACTTAGTTAGTATTTGAATACCTTGTTAACGAAACATTTTACTCTATTGATGAGTATTTGAATCCTGATAAGTAATCTGATATTTTTAATCAAAATATTTTAAATTTGTAAAATCATAATATTAATTTGTATATTGACAACGTAATTAATATAATTAGTGGACAGACATACTAATTTTAGCTAAGAACTTTATAAATTGTGTATAATTCTTATGTTCCTTATACTCATTTACTTATTTAGTTCGTATGCCTTATGGCGTAGCTTAGAGGGTCACCATAAATTTATGTATAATAATGAATTTCAATGTACTTACTGTAACCTATGTTGACGAATAAATATATTCGAATTTTAATTTGTAGAATTTTAAAGCGGCTACTGCTATTATGAGAGTAGTATTACGAAAAAAAGATTTACTAAATATTTGTACCTTACTAGGATACCTTATTCTGGTACACCCGAAATGGTGTTGATATAGATCATAGGTTACCAAAGTTTTTGACTCTACGCCCACTTAGGCAAATTAAAAAAATGTCGACGCTACCACCACCAAAAATAATTGAAAACACGTATTTTTTATATTAACACAAAAAATCACAACGAAAAAACAGACAGTGTCAACGCTACCACCCCCTAGGACTGTTCAGCGCCCACTGCGGGGGCTGTAACAATTATAATCAAAGGTCGTAAAAAGGTGTTCCACATATTTTGTGGATACATGTATAGATGTACAAGGAGCGATATATAGTTGTTAAAACCACCAAATATTAATTAATTACTTTTTCGAAATCTGGATTTCCGGAAATGGTTTTACTGTATCGTGGTTATCTAAGATACCTTTTACCAAGGCATGCAATAAATAACATTATCCTATCTATATCACAATTTATTAAAATACTTATGGCCGTTAATCTCAGTACAGAGTACTAAAAAACCGACCTCAAAAGTACGTGGAATTACGTCTGTTTGCTAAGTTTTATTGAAATATGTCCCCTAGTTCGCCACTATACAGGACTTGACACTGGTGATAATAAAAATCGGTTCTCACTACTCAAAGTATATTGAGAGAAAAACGCCTTGAATTGGAGAAATAGCAAAATCAACCATTAAAGTAATTGCTCCTAAATTAAAGTTAGGCGCTATTAATAAAAATCAATTTTCATGCGTGAACAGCCACCCTTTGAGGTGGATGATTTTCCTCAAAATGAAATGTGACCACTATGGAAGTACCCCCTTTCCAACAAAAAAATAATCATGAAAATCGGTTCACAAATACCGGAGTTATCGCGTAACATACATACAAAAAAAAGAACATACAGTCGAATTGAGAATCTCCTCATTTTTTGAAGTCGGTTAAAAAGTAGTGAGAATGGTCACTCTCCGCCCCTCGCTAGCTTTAAATACCGCACCGAGCCCAGCATATTGACGGTCACATTGACGGAACGCAACAAGGAAGTCAATTATCTTCAGCATTTTTTTACAAGGCACTGTTAGAATTATTTTCAAATCGAACTTCGACTTCCTAGGTCAGCAGTTTATCCTACGATAAGTAAAACCATTACCGGAAAGCCAGGATTCGAAAATCTAATTAATTAATATTTGGTGGTTTTAACAACTATATGTCCCTCCTTGTAACTATGTCTATACGTGTATGTCTATATATGTGGAACACTTATAATGATAGCAAATGAAACTATTTTTTCGGATCTCGTGTACTTTTATTTCTTCAAACAAACCCTTGTTAGGCGATAGTTCACGTAGTACCCGGATGTGCCCTGGCCAGGGCTCTGTTACTAGCTCCAGGTTACGCGGAAGTGCCTCCCCTGAGGTCACCGCAAGCGCTTATACAAGTATTTTATTTATGAGCATTCGGCTCCGCACGACTGCAAACGGCGGTCAACGTTAATTTTACCTTTCTGAGCGCGTGCTTAGGTTCCTTTTTCGATTTTGTATGAGAGTGATGATCTGTTACGTAGTTTATTATGAAAACTAACACGGTTATCACACATTATAATATAAAAGTAACGGGACTTACTCGCGTAGTAGTTTAGTCGGAAGCGGTCCGACTAGTTTCGACCATAATCGATGGTCGGCAGATACATTGAATCGATGGCCATAAATGCAGCCTGGAAGCTTGGCATTCTTTCCAAGGTGAGGCGTTACTTCACACAGGGACAGTTGCTTCAGCTGTATCAAGCACAAGTCCGGTCTTGTATGGAGCATAGCTGCCACCTTGGATTCAATTGACGAGCGTGTTAAGAGGCTTATAGGTGATTCGGAATTAGTAGAGGCGAAACTGCAGAACCTTGAACACCGCCGTAAAGTTGCCTGTTTATCGGTATGGATATATCAAGGAGAGCGTGCGTTGGAGTTACACGATTTAATTCTACATTCCCCTTTCCATCATCGGGGGACTAGGCGTAGGCTTGGGTTCCACCCCTATGTTGTGGATATTCCAAAGATTCGCACAAAGCGTTACGCTTCCACATTCATGTGGCGAACGGTTATGGAGTGGAATTCCCTGCCTGCAGACTTGTTCCCTGAATGTTGTAACTTGGACCTTTTCAAGGCGAGAGTTAATATGCATTATTTAGGCGTGCACGCTCCATCGTCGACCTCATCGTCACTTCCCATCAGGTGAGATGGAGGTCAAATGCACACTTACATTTGAATAATAATAAAAAAAGTCTAATCTTTGTATTTTTGTGCATGTATGTATGAGCTTACAAAATTTGACAATTCAAATGAACTTTGTGCTCAGAAATGAAATGAAATAAGTTCGGCTATTTATTCCATAAGCGTGACCAATATTCAATCGATAGTCGATAGAATATTTATCGACTGCAATCACTAGCTGCTCGCAAGCGGGCAACATTTTGGCGCAATGAACTGTCATTTTACTCCATCTTCAAAAAGCCAAAGTATAAATTAAAATTATTTATTAAAAAGAAAGTTACCTCAAAAGTTTGCTAATTGGGTTTTTTTATTGCAATTACATCTACATATTTGCCTAGTTTTATTCAATTCGGTTTACGGAAACTGAGCAAAAGCGGATTCATCCCCTAGTTTGCCACTCTTAGAGGTGGAATATTTTCTTTAAATGTAAATGGGAACAATACTGAAGTACCCTCTTTTCAACAAAGAATCATTAATAATAATAATTATTTATTTATTTAAAATACTGTAAGTGCTTTCCCAGAGATCTGCTCGTCATGACCAAACCCCAAATGCTAGCCTCCTGGTCGATCCTTTGGCAGGAATCACGACAGACTGTTGGTAGACACTATGGTAACCTCCAACCAAATCTACCCACTAAACCCTGGTTTTTTAAACGTCGCGATTTGCCTAAAAAGATCACTTCCACTATTATTCATTTGCGCTTAGGCCATGTTTGCACACCTGTATTTTTGCGTAAAATCAGAGTTCGAGATCACTCTCTGTGCGAGTGCGGCCTAGAAGACGGTACCTTGGAACACATTTTTTTCAATTGTCCTAATATTGCTGTTCCACTTTATAACTTACTTTCTCCAAAATTCCCCCGCCCCATTAACATAAACAACCTCTTAACTTTAGTGTTCTCTCCCCATATTGTTACTCTATGTAAATTTATCCACTTAAATAACATATATTTATAAATGTTGTTTTGTTTTACATTCTCAACTGAGTACTCCCGTAGTCCAACTTACCAACACCGGTTAATGTCCTATTAGAGCTTAGCGAATTTTTTTTTGTTTCGTTTTTTTTTTTCTTTCAACCGTGACATTGGCAAAATCATCATTTCTCATAATGATGGAGCCATAAAAATAAAAAAGTGAAGTGAAGATCATTGATCCACTTTGTTAGTAACAATCAAAAACTTAGGACTATGTTAGTAAATTACACTTAATAAAATAATTAAAATAGAAACACTTAAAAATAAATAATACAAATTTACAATAGGTACGCGTAATTAGAATTCATGTCACCAGCCCTTCTTGGTGACATGAGTTCTGGTCCAGTGGCACAGTATCGGACACGCTACATCCTCCGATATGGTGTTCAGAAGGCTGTTATCGCTGCCACGCATCCTGCTCATGGTCGACGAAACGCGTTTCCGAACTACTGCATCAAAACCGTCGGTACGCGCTTCCGCAAACATGCCGGACGCACTACAGAACGGGGGCAGCCGCAACAGCATTCTGAAGGTGCTGTTATACTGGACCTTCAGGGCATTGAAGGATTTCTGCATATAATTAACCCACAGGCCGCAGGTGTACAGTGTCTGGCAGTAGGCCTTAAAAAGAGTTAATTTAACGTCATTCGTATACCGTGCAAACCTGCGAGCCAACATATTGCACCTTACCGTCAATGCCCTGCGCTCCCTATCCAGCTCTAAGTTATCTGTGAGCGCATCGGTCACCCAGTGACCCAGGTATTTAAACTGCTTCACTTGCTTAAGAGAAGCACCATCTAGTGTGATAGGTGGAACAGTGTTATATGTTTTCGTGCCCGCCTTGAAAACTAGCAGCTCACTTATCTTAGCATTATACCTGAGTCCATGGGCCACCGCATATTGCTCACAGATTTTCAACAACCTCCTCAAGGCACCGACTGAGGGGCTCAACAGCACCATATCATCAGCATAATTAAAATCGGTTCACACATTCATCGCGTAACATACATGCAAAAAAACATACAGACGAATTGAGAACCTCCTCCTTGTTTTGAAGTCGGTTAAAAATTAAAAATGTCCCGTCTACGGTATCTCTACTCTATGCTACACTACAGTAAGACAAAACTTTGTATGCTTATTTATAGGTACATTTAAAGTATTTGGATGACAAAAATCCATGGTTGTTACCCATTTAGTTCTAGGTTGTTTCTATGTGTGATATTAAGGCAACGTCTCGTATGGAAAGGTCGTCTGTTTACAAATTGCGACCCCTAGAGTGACCCCTGGATCGTTCGGCTTAGGGGAATTGCTTTACGAATCGACAGTTCATCTAATGTAACGATTTCAAGTGTAATTTTCTTACCTATGAAATAAATAAGTAATTTGAATTTTATATATTCGTAACCTAATTGCTATGATGCCTAATTGGTGATTTTTAGTTGTTGATTTTCCTTTCTGATTGGATAGTAAATTCTAGATAATTAATGCTAGATATTACATGCTAAAATCTTAGATTATAGAAACGAATGAGTTTGAATCACAATTTTTTTTTAATTTATAGCTACTAATATTTGTAATAATAATCATAATTAGAAAAACATAAAAGATTTGATTCAATTTAATTAATTTTTATAGTAATATTTAAGTATCTATAAATTTATTATAAATTTTATTCATAGCTACTAATACAAATATTAAATATTACTTATTTATAGCTACTAATATTTATGATATTTATATTAATAGCTATAAATGAAAGATTTGGTTGTAATTTAAACTTATTATTGTTAGATATTGAACAATTACATAGTGGATATTGCTCTCGAGTTTCAGGAAATGGTAAAAAAGAATTATGAAAATAATCAATGGCAGCCAGAGGCGACAGCACGAGATTTCAAGCGACCAGTTGCAGCTAGCAGAAGCAACAGTTCAGAGTCGTACGAATCGGACGAGTCGTATGAGTCGGACGAGTCGTATGAGTCGGAGTCGTATGAGTCGAACGAGTCGGAGTCGTATGAGTCGGACGAGTCGTATGAGTCGGACGAGTCGGAGTCGTATGAGTCGAACGAGTCGGAGTCGTATGAGTCGTATGAGTCGGACGAGTCGTATGAGTCTGATGAGCCAGATTTGCGGCAGCGTGGCTATGTATGGTGGGAAGAGTCGGGAGAGTCAGGAGAACTTGGAGGATGGGATAGAGGGAAGGGAAAGGGGAAAGAGAGGAGGAGATGGAGGGGAAAGGGAGGTAGGGCTGGAGGGAAGGAAGGAGGGAAGGGAGGAAAGTGACGGTCTGGATAGTATAGAGAGCAAGTGGCGTAGTACTAATAAGCCGCTTATTTTGTTTGATGAAAATGTTTAAGTGATATTATATAAACACAGATTAACTGCCTCAGTGGCCGAACGGTTACCAGGCTGCACTGCCACGCAGAGGTCCCGGGTTTGATTCCCGGGCGTGAGAAATATTTGTATTACCTACATTTATTTCTCTCGTGAGTTTGGGTGTAATTTGTAGTTGTCTACGTGTGTGTCCATGTACATATGTTATGTTGCATGTGTGCGTTATTATTATTCTTATTATATTGAAACCAGATTGAACCCAGGAAATTAAAGGAAGGGGTCTCTGCATGCTTTTATGAGCGTATCTTCTTCTTGTTAAGTCAATGACGGCACTGTATAGTAGGCACCTTTTACCAGTACGATGCTATGAAGCTGTAAGAGCTTTCTTCGACATACCACCACTATAGATGCCAATGCCAATCCAATGGACGCGAGGCGCCAAGAACGATGGCAAAATCATAGTTAAAAGAATCCGTTAGCGACATTGACTTACAAATAAATGGACGACGGGTCTAATACACAAACCACGAAAAAAATGTCCCAAGTCAACCTATTTAAACGTAGTGACATGTAAAGGAATATGTAAAAGTTAAAACGTTGAATTTAAATTGTAATGTCATCGCAGTACTGTCTAATTTTGCTTGCTTCGCTGTCAGTCGAACAAACGAAGACTAAAGCGTGAATGACGCTCTGTATACGATTTTAACGCCCTATAAGTTCGGACACTTTTTAGCGCGGACCCGACGTCCATATAATTGTAAGTCAATGGTTAGCGTCTTCAAAATTAATTAGGTTTTTCAAATTATAATAGCGGCTTATCTAAGTCTGGACATAAAATCATATTTCAAAGAAATTCTAATGACTAATTAGAATGTAACCGGACTGTACAACTATCAGTTTCATAGCGTTGAACGTCTAGCCGCCAAACAAGGAATTTCATTGCCTACGTATGGATATAGTCCACATTTAGTTCAAGTAATATCATAATGTACTGATTCGACCGATTTGTAATAAGCTTATAAAAGATTAACTACTTTATTACAAAAAATGAAGTTGACAATTTCGTGCACAAAATGCCACGCGAAAAAATGGTAAAACTGACAAAAAAGTTCCCAAAATCAGGGATCGATGACATAGTGACAATAGTTTGTCTACGATTTTGTAGTATGTTATGTAATAATTAATTCAGTTTTTTTTTGTTACGACTTAAGTTCATGCCTTTTGACCATACCAATATACAAAATAATTTCCTCTGAACTTTCGTCACGTCACAATTCAGCTTCTATTAACACTCAAATCAAATCAAATCAAATCAAATCGTTTATTTGCATAAAACATGGTGGTCATGATAACACAGTAATATACATATAAGTTCAAGCATGTTTCGCCCGAAGATAATTTAGGCATGCAACATAAATGAAAAATAGGTCGTCACATGATTACATTTACATTAAGTTATATATAATTAATTTAAATTCTTTTACATAAAAATTATTGTAGAAATTCCCTAATACTGTAATATACTTTATTCTTTAACAATTCATATAATTTAGTCTTAAATAATGTAATGGGCAAGTGTTTAATGTCATTTGGTAATCTATTGTAAATTCTGACACACATACACAAACAATTTTGATTATATTTTTCTACCTTAGGTACGTCAAAAAAAATTAGTCTATTGGGATTTCTATAATTTCGATGGTTCACGTCAATACTCTTTATAAACAAATGTAAATTATTTTTCACAAAAATGCTGGCTTCATAAATATATAAGGCAGGCAGGGGTAACAAACCAAGATCTTTAAATATAGGTTTACAGGATCACTGTTTAAGGCTTCTGTAGTTTATTTTTATATAATAACACACCCAATATATTTTATTCAATTACGTAACACATAGCCTCCAAAACTTCAAACTGGAATATCTTTAATCCCTGACTTCTCGGAATAGTCAACACAAAACAATATTTCGACTCATCCGTAGAACAAAGATCTATGTGCGAGACTACTTCTTCTCAGGACATAGTACGTTTCCTTCGTTCTTCTTCGCTATGGATGTCATACCGACCGTTGTTCGATTTTATATTAATTTTTTCTTTTTATATTTTCGATTTTATATTAAAAATTCTCAAAACACCTTTACACAGGCCTTAGTTTGATGAAATTATGTATTTATCACCTTTTCGCTGTATAATCACATCGGACTTTGTTCTTTGGATGAGTCGATTTGTTCAAGAATTTCAACTCTATTTTCATAAACAGACGCATACAAATTATGTCAACAAAAATTTATATTGTCCTTTTTGCAAATTAAACTTGCTGCTCCTCATGATTTTATCATCTCACCTAAAGTCTTCCCCCGGGCACGAGTTACAGTCGTGCAGTGGTCAACATGTAGCCGATGTAGAGGCAAAATGGGGAAACGGTGATATATTAACCCGACAAAAAATCATTGACCCTGCGGATCCTTTACACAAAGTATGTCTCACTTGCTCTCGTGCCCACTGTGCACAGACATGTATCTAAATAGATACCGCAAGTGCCGCGATCTGTATGAAAATCAAGCGTGCCATATTTTTTGTACCTCCGATGACATCACAAGCGCCATTTAGTGATGGTAAACCTTCGGTAAATATTAATGTAGTGCAATAACAACAGAATAAGACAATTAAATCCTTTATTAATACGTGTTTTGAAATAAGTTGCTTCGAAAAACTAAAAAAAACAACAACTTTTATAGAATATGTTTAAAACATTTTCTCATGTCTTAAGAATTATCATCCCTTTGTTCCTGAATTAATCAGAATCGAGAACTGTGTTGCATCAAGTGACATCACTGTTCGTAAAATTTGACGAAGCGGCCGTACCACGAAACCCAATGCATTATACTACGTGTTAGATAAAGATGTATGGAAAAACAACGTGAGTCAAGACACCACACAAATATGATTCAAAACGTATTCTATAGCATTTAAGTTTATTTCAAGAGAGCAATCCCTAGACTTTCTTGCTTGTTCTTCTCAGGGAGGTCAGCGTAGTGAACGAGCAGTAGCTTAAAAGAAGCGCTCGTTCGATATTCATGGCCTACTAAAGAAGGACCACAAGTACACTACGTGAAAGCCGCAATGTATTACGAACATGCGCCATACACTCCTTTGCACATTTGTTTTTTCGGAATTCATTCAAAATGAAAATAATTTTAAAATAAATTATGCACATTCTGATTACTTAACTATGGAAGGAAACGTCTCTGTTTATTCATCTATTCATAGATGTGGTGTTTTTGCAGTTCCTAATGGCACAATCAGGGACTTTTCGCGTTTACGACTGATATTTAACTACTATAACGGTCGGGCGCGTTCTGAAGCGTAGCAACGGCAACTAAGCATTTATAGCTTACATTGGGCACGCACAGTAGGTACACTTGCGGCGTCTATTTAGATATATGTCTGTGGGGTCCATCGAGTATATAACCAGAAATAGAGACGAAATGTCATTTAATTTGTTTGAAAACAATTCTGCCAGATCATTACGGCGACAACTGCGCTCCGATTGGCTAGCCCGAATTTGAAACAATTGACGAGTGTCGTCAATTGCCTCATTTCAAGTTGACCAGTTCAGTAAATTGAAAAATTACATATTTAATTACCGATGAAACGTGATAACGTTTGTTTTGTAATTAGATGTTTTGCTGTTTTTCCCACACCACCGAATGGAACAGCCGGCCATTGTTAGAGATATTATCTTTATTACAATAAATACAGAATACTTTTTGGAATATACGGAGACGTACACACAGGTCAGCAGAATAATAAATACTATCATAATTGCAATACATCGAGTATATAGCCATTAAGAGACGAAATAAGGGCCGTCCAGCCCTGGCAACTCATCAGGCAAATGGGCCTTATATCACTTGACTTGTGATGTACAGTAAAATTTATGTATATTAATATTACGACATAACTCGGCATGTGTTTTTCGAAATTTTTAGAAATCCTCATTTAAAGGGTCGCTGTCCAGCACAACTTCTCAGAACTCTAAACATTTTTATTTTCGTTTTATTAAAACTTTTTAATCACCCACCCCTTGCAATACTAGTTGTAAATCTAAAAAGTTATAGATGCGACTCGCATTTGATTATATTTTTTTCGATAATCAATTGAGATTTGACCCCACTATTGTAAATCTGTCCAAATGGCCATCATAGCGTGCCGGTGCCTACTTTAATAGTTAAACGTTTTTACTATAGGTATGGTATTTTATTGGTTTTTGTAATTGACTAAACAAGAAGAAGGATAGTGTCTAAAAAAGTATAACTGGCTGGGCATATAGGGGTTTCTACACTTATGTATGGCAGTGAATGTTGGGTTTTGCAGAAGAATCAAAAACTGTTGTCGATTACCGAAAATCTGAACTGAAATGGCCTATACTAACTACGAGTAAAATAAGGTAATGTTAAGATTGTTGAATATGACGATGTTAAATCAAATGTGTAATGTGTAAACTACACGGGAGAAAAAAAACAACGGAACTTAAACGCCTTAAGTATCTATTACTACCAGGGGTACTACTCTCGTTCTTCGTCCAAAACAAATACTGTCAAATACGTAATACGTTGAAAGAAAACCAAATACAAAGATATACGACGATATATAAAGAGATTCGACGCAAGCACATAGAAAGATTCTTGAGGTCCGCTGGTTCGTTCCGTGGCTTAATTGGTATAGCGTCTGCCACGGTATGCTAGAAGACGTCGGGTCGAATCCAGCCAGATTGAAGGAATTTTTTCTGAGTGTTTGATATTTGCAGTAATAATTATAACTAATGGAGTAATTTCACATAAAAATAATTGAATATCAATTCAATAAAAATTTAAATACAATGAATAGCGACATTTCTAGCCGGGGCTGATATATGGTAAAGGTATCTAACTAAGTGACGAAATAT